TTTCTTTAAAAAATTTGACCTTTTTGACCTGCCTCCATCTGTCAAAATCAGAATGACATTTTTTGACATTTTCTATAGATGGCGTCTTCAACAGGTGAGATCTTTTGATTTTCGTGGGGAGTTTTGATTCAAACTTTTTTGACTGACAGAGGACATACTGGGGTATGATGCACTGATAGCAAAACATGTCCACAAATCTTAGTTTTCTCTTGAAGACAGATCGTTTGTATGGGAATACGCATGTTATAACAATTAGTTGGGTTAACCCTATTATCGCCCATTCTGGAGTACCACTTTTTTTTAATTTGGTCATATTTCTCAACTATTTCCAGTTTTTATTGGGACTTTCATTAATTTCATCTCTCTCAATGCGTTTGACAAAGTTTCATGTCACTTTGGTCCATGCTTTTCCCAAAAAAAGTGCTGAATAAGCATTTTTTCGCAAAAAATTACCCCGTGTTATTCAAATATGTGCATAAATTAGAGAAATTTATTGATTATTTTTCTAAATCACAAAAATTGATTCTAGGCAAAATGTGCTATCCAGATATAGCTCAATCAGCTCTGTAATACCTCCCCAGCTCAAACTAGACATCTCCCAACACATCCGTCATAGGCTCCAACCAGGAGTCAACTTTTTGTTACTTTGGTCATATTTCTCCACCGTTTCCATGATTTTTATTGGAATTTTCACAAATTTTGCTCTAGAAAGCTAAATCATTGGCCATGACCCAACCCTAACCCCAACAATATCTCTAACCCTAACTATAGCCTAACCCTAAGCCAGAGCCTAACTCTAACCCGTAATCTGAACACCAACACTACCCCTAACCCTAACTATAGCCTAACCCTAAGCCAGAGCCTAACCCCTAACCCTAACCCCAACACTATTCCTAACCCTAACTACAGCCTAACCCTAAGCCAGAGTCTAACCCTAACCCCTAACCCTAACCCCTTACCCCAACATTACCCCTAACCCTAACTATAGCCTAACCCTAAGCCAGAGCCTAACCCTAACCCCTAACTCTAACCTCAACACTACCCCTAACCCTAACTTTAGCCTAACCCTAAGCTAGAGCCTAAGCCTAACCCCAACACTACCCCTAACCCTAACTATAGCCTTACCCTAAGCCAGGGCCTAACCCTAGCCCCAACACTACCCTTAGCCATAACTAAAGCCTAACCCTAAGCCCAAGCCTAACCCTAACCCCTAATCCTAACCTTGACTTAACCCTAAGTAATCAAATACAGTGTTCAGAATGATCATTTATCAATTGGGAGACCTATAATTGGAAATGTGTGTTGTTTTGGTTTTCTTTGATGAATATTCCCCAGGGTAGAACAACAACTGGAGAAAATGACAAATTTTTCTGTATCCTCCATACTAAATATTTCTCTGTAAACATTCAGAAGCAATAATAATGATTACAATTAGTTTATGTAATTGATAACACATGAATTGTTCTATCATTTGACAAAGTTTAATGTCACGATGGTCTGTACTATTTCCCAAAAGTGTCGAATAAGCAATTTTTCGCAAAAATCTACCCCGTGTTATTAAATATGCGCATAAATAAGAGATATTAATTGCCTATTTCTTTAAATTACAAAAATTGATTCTAGGCAAAATGTGCTTTCCAGATATAGCTCATTCAGCTCTGTACTACCTCCCCATCTCAAACTAGACACCTCCCAACACATCTAGCCATAGGTTCCAATTTTAGTCAATATCCCAGGAAAACATCTAATTGCAGAAAGGGGATGGGTAACTTTAATCATTCATATATCTGGAAAAAATAGTCGAATCTGCTTGCGGTTTGTATTATTTTACTAGAAAACAACTTGGGGTTACATTTTGGAGGAAATTACAATTGTAACTTAAAGGATGGGTCACTACTAGGAGACACACAACCATTAGATCCTTCCGCCGAGTGGGAAGACGAATAGATGGCATTATAAAAACAAAAATATAGTCCAATTATTGTAATTACATTAGCATCACCAGTGGTTGGATTTTGGTAAGTACATGAATGAAAAAGTGTATGTGTGGACCAACTCTGAGACATGATTTGATGTGATTAAGGTGCATTTTCTTTAAAAAATTTGACCTTTTTGACCTGCCTCCATCTGTCAAAATCAGAATGACATTTTTTGACATTTTCTATAGATGGCGTCTTCAACAGGTGAGATCTTTTGATTTTCGTGGGGAGTTTTGATTCAAACTTTTTTGACTGACAGAGGACATACTGGGGTATGATGCACTGATAGCAAAACATGTCCACAAATCTTAGTTTTCTCTTGAAGACAGATCGTTTGTATGGGAATACGCATGTTATAACAATTAGTTGGGTTAACCCATCTAGAGGCACATTGTTTACATTTTGCTATCTCACATTTGAAGAGCTCAGCATCTAAGGAGCATATATTATTCAATTTTCATTCTTTGATGATTATTCATTTACAATTTACATGATTATAATCTACATGCTCATAATCATTATTTACCATCATCAGATTCTGTTTACTCCTTTATTGATTTCAGTAATTCTATTATATACATCATAAACAGCATGCTAACTTATTTATCCGCTCATAGCAGGATCTTAGCTAAAGTAATAAGTCAATGCCGCAGAAATATTCATCCCAGGCCCTTACAATTATTCTGACCAGTTTATTCAATGTTAACGTTCACTGTCGTGAAATGCCTCAACTTAAGGTGACATCACTTTTCATTTACATTGGTCAAGTATGTAAATGTGTATATGTTCATGCAGTTGAGCTCTAAACTATGGCCTGATCTGTATAATACACTTCAATATACTGAGTAAATAGTACTAAATTAGAATTGATAATATCTCATAGAATACGTATTTGAATTGAGATAATTCTGGTAGTTCCATGGCAATTATGATTTTTAATATCTATTTTTATTTATTATATTTATTTATTCATTTTATTTCAATGGCATGTGTTATTTCTAATTAATTATTAAAACATAAACATTGTTATTAGAAATATTGAATATGCATCACAGCAAATGAGGTTTTTTCATTCCCCGATTCAAAGATAAAACATGATTTTGCTAATTATAATTTCTATGTTAAGATATACCATGTATGAATTATCCTGCACATGTAACATGCATATTCTTTTAAATATTAATGAAATACATGACAAATTACCCAATTGATTTATATTTTGAATGTTTACTCTTAATTATAGAGATGAATAATTCATGATGTACATTATATACCATCATGATCATTATGATCAAATCTTCCAATAGAGGATAATAAAGCACACATTAGAGCTTATTTATTATACAGTAAATCCTGTAATAGTGAACACTTCAGCAAAGAGAGGAATTGAGAGTAACATATTCTTGTCACTGTTTTACAATATTTTTGCTCATAGATTCTTCGTAATAACTGTTTTGTAAAAATTCCAAGTACTCTATTCCATGAACAGTTTGTGAACAAATATTAAATCACGTTCAATGATCCAACAAGGTTTTTAGGGGAAAAATTGATTTTTGCAATGATAATAGATATAAGCCCTTGACCCAGTTCAGGAAAGTAATTATATACCATTGATGTGAACAATGAAACAGAGATTAGATAATTAGGGGTTCTTTACAGTTTTGTAACCCCTTCACAGTCTATATTGATTACCTAATAACTGAGCTAATCAAGCCTGTATTTGACCATAAAGTATTACATACAGGTACCCTTTGAATAGCTCTGATCTTCAAGTTCAAAGACCTTATTATTGGAATACTGTTATTTAACTATATATAAGGATGGCGTGCCCAAATGAGACCAGAATTTTCATGAATGGTTTATTAAAAAAAATGATTTCATTTCAGAATTGCCATTTCATTAATTTAAGTTACCAATAAGTTGCTAAATAACAATGTTCTCAGTCTTTACAATTAAAACCAAAGCCTTGTGTATAAGTCATGAAATACCTTAAAACTCCTTTTTCTTAATGCAACAAGCAAAGTAGACTTGCCTGAACTGGGGATAGAACCCAAAAGACTGCCCCAGAAGAAAACCTGCTCTACAATTGAGCTACATCGGCAAACAAGTGTTAAGTTTTACTAATAGTAATATTGTAGTATTCCCCAGTTCATATTTTGTATTTTAGGGTTATTTTAGCTGTTGATGCTTCATTTAAAACCCTTCTAGCTATTTCTTTGTCATTTAACATTTTTAAATAATATCCATTTCTATAATAAAGATCATGCATTTCAATGTTGTTTCATGTTTTAACCATGAGCATGTTATTCTCTTCATCTTGTATGTTAGGTATTGTAGCTGTTTCTATGACGTGATTAACCTATTGTGATTTCTCCTTAACAGATGGAGCTACTTGTGTGACATCGTCGTTGAAACCCTAACCATCCATAATAGCGTGCTTAAAATGTTGACATCCTTTTAACATACTGTTCTGCTTCTAACTTTGGGCCTCACGAAATGTTGATCACCCTTTGCTCTGAAAGTTTTTGAAATTATGTCCATACGGTTGAAGGTACCAACATCTGTATGCTAAGGATATATGTACAGTATGTTTGTTATGGAATAAATGAAAAATAAGTCATGAAACTTATAAAATGAGTTTGATGATTAATAGACCTATTTTATACTGGCATATGGACTATTTAGAAATCAAAACTTTTGGTGTTAAATATTTCATGAGGCTTTCTTTATTCATTTCTTTGTAACCCTGATGTTTGCCTCCTCTTGTTGTGCATGGTGTTAATGCCATAGACCACTATGTTTTTCCAGCTATGGTGACATTGTGCCCCATACTATAATAGGCAAAGTTGTGGGTGGGGTTTGCTCATTGAGTGGTGTCCTCGTAATAGCCTTGCCCGTTCCTGTAATTGTCTCCAACTTCAGTCGTATTTATCATCAGAATCAGCGGGCTGATAAACGTAAAGCACAGAAGGTAAGACCATACAGATGTTAATAGTAGAAGTGCTGTGTTGTATTTTTCAGTTATGGAGATATAGTCCCCGATACTATTATGGGAAAGCTTATGGGAGGCATATGCTCTCTTAGTGGAGTGTTAGTCATAGCATTACCTGTGCCTGTCATTGTGTCCAACTTTAGTCGGATTTATCATCAGAATCAACGTCAAGATAAACGCAAAGCACAAAAGGTATGTCCCACAACGCACGTATCTCATCACGCATCCCCACCAGATGGCTTGGTCTAACTCTCTGGTTTATCCGTCACTTCCATAACACTGTTTATATGATGCCCAATGTTGTTAATATTAACTACATCTAATCAATTACAATATATTTCCTTAACCCCAGCGTGGTATCCTCCTGTATACTCGGACCTGGTTTTGACATAAGTTTTGGTCACGATTCATTGTTTAGCTCAAGAAGAAGAATGCTTTTCAACGAATCATTGATCATCAGTTATGCTTGACTGAACATGCGACAACGGACCTGAGAATTGTATCATGAACGTCAACCCCAACATCCCCTTGTTGTTCTCATTAACCCTCCAGCTCCCAAAGTACTAACCCTATTAAACCCTCTTAAGACCAAATTCCAAAAGCAGTCTGGTGGTATTGCAAGCCTCGAAGTCGTAACATCATACTGTTGTTAACAACTAATGGCTGGTGATTTCCTTCTTTTAAAATCTAACATCCAAATTATTTTAGATCTTCACTTTTCTAATTCTTACACCTTTTGACCTGATAGCATAATTTTATCATTTAGTTATTTAGCTAAAGTAGGTTTTTGAAACCTATTGTTCAAACTAATATTTAGACATGCACAAAATTTTACTAACTTAACAGTGGTTGAAATCAACCATTTTCTTTGATTTATCAGGCCTTGATCTTTGAATTTTTTGCCTTGACCTTCATTATGGCCTCTGCCCACTTTCAGTTGGGTTATACCTCCCTTTCTCAGATTGCCCTTGTTTTTTCTCAGTGAGGCATATAACCTCACTCACATTTTACTGTTAATGAGGCATATAACCTCACTTGACACTTTACTGTCAGTTGAGGCACTTTAACATTCTGACACTTCATTAACGGCACACAGGTTTGTGTAATTATTACTTATTCGTTTGTGTTTCAAGAGCTGCTGTCCCAATACATGGTTTTTAATTGCTAGAAGGATTATTAAGACATCAAGTTAATCACTATGTTTGTTACTCGAGCTCGGTCCCTTCCTTTAGTCCCTCAATAGAGTTTTTACAATATCTATGTCAAACCCAAATACCATGTGATACCATGTGTCCATATCTGACCAATCATAATGATTGAAGGTCACATGATCACTTTGTGTTGGGCAAAGACAGTGTGAAAACTATTGACTGCAGTAAGAGAAGGGACAAGACTAGGATGTTATAGTTTAAACTGACTAGCTCAGGTGTCTTAATGAATCCTTTGAATAAGAAACTTCAGTATATGACAGCAGCTGTTTTGTTGATTTGTATTATAACAGCAGCTTAATCTTTGCTGTTTGTATTATAACAGCAGGTGAAGCTTTGCTGTTTGTAGCATAACAGCAGCTGAAGCTTTGCTGTTTGTATTATAACAGCAGCTGAAGCTTTGCTGTTTGTAGCATAACAGCAGCTGAAGCTTTGCTGTTTGTATTATAACAGCAGCTGAAGCTTTGCTGTTTGTAGCATAACAGCAGCTGAAGCTTTGCTGTTTGTATTATAACAGCAGCTGAACCAATGCTGTTTTTAGTGTAACAGTAGCTAAAGTTTTGCTGTTTGTAGTGTTACAACAGTTGAAACTTTGCTGTTTGTAGTGTAACAGCAGCTGAAACTTTGCTGTTTATAGTCTAACAACAGCTCTTGTTTTGTCTTTTTGTAATGTAACAGCTAGTTATGTTTTGTCGCTTGTAGGAATGTGTTCTAACTTTTGTATTTGTGTATGTAAGAATAACATTTGTATTTAAATGTTTTTAATCATTAATGTAAACAGACTAGCACTGTATGATTAATAATGATGCACATTTATATATGTTATATATAATATTATATATTATATATTTTTCTGAAATGTTAATATTGTATATCTTTTATTGATATGTTTTCAGGATTGAAACATGGTAAGGTTTCAATTTTTATTTCTGTAATATATGATACATTCCTGATCATTAAATGAGATACAAATGTACACTATTACATGTATATTTGATGTTTAAGTTATATATCACAGTCTATCAAAGTTTGAATATAGAACTATTGCATTGTTTGCTTATATGCATATCAAAATTTCTAGTCTGAACTGTTCACTCTACGCAAATGGCATTCTCCATAAATGGGCAAAAAGGCGGAGTTAACACTTAAGAATCCAGGGATTGACACTCTCCTTAAATGGCCAAAAAGGTGGAGTTTACCTATATGGGCAAACAATCTCATGAATTAAGGCCATTGGTTGGTTTTGCTCTTTTGCTCCACGTAACTTGTGAGACTTACCCTCCTTACCTAATTGGAAGTTTCAATTTTGAATGACACTGCATACTAAGTCTCAAGTCTCAGAAGTTATTTTTATGTATACGTTGATAATACAGGGTATCCCAAAAGTGACAGGACTGATGCTGGCATTTTATTAATATACAAATAATTACATTTGAATTCCTGTTACATATACTTCAGTCTATTGATCAAAATCCACATGTTTTTATGTTTTTAACAAATTATGCTATATATATTCAATACATTTACCAAAGGGTTCTGACAACTCTTCTAAGAGACAGAAAGTTAAAATAAATTTCTACCTATGTCCCATTGATGTCTTTTTCAAGTGTACAATACAAATTAGGAGTGAAACGCAATCTAATGTAATTGCAGTTTCCCATTATCACCTTCTCAAGCTTAACAAGATTAACAGCCATTAATACCTTGAGATATATTGGGAAAAACAGTTTTCTTGTTTACATAAAGTACAATTTTAGAACCTAACCAAAGATAATTGAATTACTAGTAAGAGGGTAGTCGTAGCTTTAGCACCGTACTCATCGAACCTTTTTAAAAGCCTTTTCAAAGAATCCGCCCCAACAATATTAGATTTTAATGGTTATTACTTGAGACACGATCTACACACTCATTGAGTGAAAATCACTTTTATATTCCTAATAATAAATTACCTGATAGTCACATAACTTAACACTCTTTGAAAGCAGTATTAGATTTCAAAACAGTTAATGTCATTATGTATGACCAATTGAATTTTACATCATTCAAATTGAGAAATTAACAAAACAAGCACATGTGTTTTGGTGCAATTTTATTTGTCTGCGGTCGCATTGACTGAACCTTACAATATTACAACATATTTGTTTCCTGGATTGATTACATTGAGGTTTAATGAAAGTAGTTCCTGGTGGTGTTGACTTCCCAGTTTAGAATCATTCGGTCAATTTATCCTCAGATGTCAAATTCTATGTTCTTTAATTAACATTTTATTCAAGTTCCTCTCATCACTTTCAATTTCCCTGATCTGTAGACTCCCCAGGAGTGACCTTGAATGATACTGACAATTCATTTGACACGTAACCTCCACACAAAGGGCAACATTTGAATAGCATAGATAAGAATAACCTTATAAACTGTGAAAATAAGATTACTGTAGAAGTGGAAACTTTAATGACGTGGAAACTTTGGCGAAATTTAGCATTGAAGGAGAGACGCCAAAATAAAAATTCGTAGAAAAATATGAAAAAAATATCGGTGGGTGATAATACTGTGAAAAATACAGATCGACATCCAGATGCTGAATTTCGTTTCGAATACATAAATAATACATACCTCAGTGTTTCCTCATCGATTTACAATCATAATTAATACCTATTTTGTTTTGCAATCATGTTTTGTTGCACTAAATGATGAAAACATTACAGAAATAATTTTTCGATTTTTCGTTTTGTGATTGGATATCTACTCACGTGACAACTTATCACTTACATGAATGACACGATTATTCTATAAGAATATACAGATGTACTAGTATTCATGCCTAAACAAAGCATAAGATACTGAACAGAACATAAACTCAACATCCACCTACAATAGTACAATAAATAAAATAAAGTTTGATAATAGATTAGCAGAGATTGTTACGAATTTGATTGTTTGTCGGGTATTAACACCTACTGTACAGTTTGAGCGCATTGATTGGGGATTACACACAAACATAAACGACTCACCTTTGATGGTGACACGCCATCCCTCGAAAGGCAAGTTTAATTATAGGGCTAATAACTGTGATATGCATGCTTACAACTCGGGGTTTACAAAAATGCAACCAATCGTGTTGGTGAATAAATGCTTCATGATAACCTAATAATAAGCTTATAAGCTCGCCCAAGTAATTTTCCATTTTCTTGATTGCTGGTCCGGAAAAGTTTAATTCGGCAATAGAGTTTTAGGGACCATCTCGCTAAAGTTTTGTTGCGCTAAAGTTTCCACTTCTACAGTAATAGAGAAGTTTTGTGTAGTATGCAATTCTACTATATACAGATGAAGCAGAATTAATATTTATTCAACTCAAATAGTTCCTGTTTTCTGAAAAATATGATAATACAGTTATATAACAATGCCTTTACCTTACATTTTTTAATTTAATCTTTAAATGATCAGGTTAAGCTTAAATAATTTACATAAAATAGCTGCTGTATGAATATCTCATAAATTAGGTCATTGCTTAAGTTATGATGCCATTATAAGCCGCTGACCTAAATATTTTTTTTATTATGAATTATATTTCTGACATAAAATCAATATCGCAAGTCTATTCTTATAAACAGCTGCATTTTTAATATCTAATCATAGGTACGTAAATTGGTGGATATATTGCGTTTTAATATCAATTTTTTGTCTCAGAACTATAGATATAACCGCATGGGATACCAAACTCAACAGTCATTTGATTGATTGGTTTACAGCTACAGCTAAGTAGCCATTGTCTCCAAAGAGAAAAGCTTCTCAGCTCAGGGCAAACCCCATTGCTATTAACTAGAGGTGTCACGAGTCAGATATTTTTCAGGTCGGTTTGGGCCAGAAAAAAATTCACGGGTCGGGTAATTTCAGGTCGGGTCAGAAGAAAACAGAAAAATGGATTTGACTTTAATCTCTTTCTCCGCCATTTTTGTTTGCATGTAAATTACGAACACACTTTTTCTG